GCTGAATAATTCATCGGGTACCACTGGAAATGCAATTATCAGTGAAGTGTGGACATGTTGGACCTTGAAACCTGTGACATATGGCAGTATATACACCGTGTATAGAGGTAAATATGTATATATGTATAGATGCATATATGTAAATATGTATATATGTAAATATGTATAGATGTATATATGTAAATATGTATAGATGTAAATATGTATAGATGTATATATGTAAATATGTATAGATGTATATAAGTAAATATGTATAGATGTATATATGTATAGATGTAAATATGGAATTGTGGAGCTACGTACTGACAGCTAGCCAGTCCTACCTAGGTTGTTTTTTATATATTTTAATTGATTAATTTTTCTCACAGAGTATGTGTGGCGCTAACCGGAAAAAAGTTCCTTTGTTTTAATATTAGTTTTTCTTTTATATTTTGTTCTCTCTTTTGTAAATCAATAAATATAATGTTTAATATTTTTTCTTGGACACCTTTTTTTTTCTGAATTGAAAAATTACTCCAATGGCCTCCGATTCTTGTGAAAGTCCAACCCCACCTGTGAGTACAAGTAACCAAACAGAGCTCTGGCGACACTTATAAATACAAAAGTCGAAATGCTTTCTACGTATGTAGACATCTGGCGCACTTACAGTAAAAGTATTCGTTAACTATTACCCATCATGGTTATCATGGCTTGTATTACTTTATATTCATGATGAAAAAAAACTAAATCCAATCCGATCAGTGAGTACCAGTAACCAAACAGACCTATGGCGACATATGTGGTGCACTTACTGTAAAAGTATTCACTAACTACTACCCATCGTGGTTATCATGGCTTATGCCAGGTTTATTTATGATTATAATAAAAAAACTAAATCCACAAACCCATTAGTGAATGCAAGTAAACAAACAGAGCTCTGGCGACATTTATAAATACAAAAGTCGAATTGCTTTCTACGTACAGACATCTGGTGAACCTACAGTAAAAACAGTCACTGACTAACCCACCATGACTATCATGGCTTGTGCCACGTTGATTCAAGATAAAAAAAAACCAACTAAATCCAACACTATCAGTGAATGCAAGTAAACAAACAGATCTCTGGCGACACTTATAAATACAAAAGTCAAATTGCTTTCTTTGAATAGACATCTGGTGAACCTATAGTAAAAACAGTAACTGACTAACCCACCATGACTATCATGGCTTGTGCCACCTTGATTCAAGATTAAAGACAACTAATTCCAACACTAACAGTGAATGCAAGTAAACAAACAGAGCTCTGGCGACATTTATAAATACAAAAGTCGAATTACTTTCCACATGTGTAGATATGTAGTGCCCTTACTGTAAAAGCAGTCGCTAACTATCCACCATGGTTAGCATGGCTTGAACTACGTGCACTCAAGATAACACTGAAAAAAACTAAATATTTAAAAACAACATCAGTGAGTGAAAGTAACCAAACAATATTCTGACGACATTTATAAGTGCAAAAGTCGAACAGCTTTCTACATATGTAGATATGTGATGCACTTACAGTAAAAGCAGTCGCTAACTATCCACCATGAATATCATGGCTTGTACTATCAAGATATAACAATAACAAAACAAAATATTTTTCAAAAAACATCAGCATTTTTCCACCTTCCTACCAAAGTTTCAGCGACTCACCATTTCTAAGGTCTCAAATCTCAGCAATCGAATGACATTCTATTGAAATGTTTACCTTGAAAATGGCGACATGGAATCATCGAAACCTCGGTAGATGAAAGTTGGAAAAGTTGATATTTATTTTAAATTATATTTCATAGATTCAAATACTCTGTTAAATCGACCGCCAGAGGTCACACTTCCACTATAAAAACTCATTATTGTTGTTTCCCGATGGCCGGCTCAAATCTTTTGTACATTATGTAAATAGGTTTTTCATTTTTTTTTATTCTTACGCCTTAAGCCAGGCAAAACTTTTATCAAATTATGTTTTTATAAATATTCCTTAAGGTCAATTAAAGCTATTTCTAATCTCCATTATTATTATTATTATAGTTTCAAGATTTTAACCACGACTGCATTACCATAGCATAATCCTCAAGATATTCCAAAATCAAGTAGAAATTCTCTTTTTTTTCTATTTATAATATATATATAAGTGTAAAAAAGGACGATATGTCTTAACACCATGGTTGTTGTTGCTATACATATTACATTGAAGATTAAAAAATAAGATCATTTAGATTTTAAATAATAAAAATGATAAATATTCCATTTATTATTATACTCTAGAGAGTTTTATATATTTGACTTTTTATATTTACAAATTAATTATATGCTTTAATTTTAATATTATTTTAGTTATTAAAAATAAAAATGGCATATCTTGATCAGGAAAACATGTGCTTTACAGAAGGCAGAGCGCCATCTGGTGGAACAGAAATCAACTAAACATTGATCTAGCCTGTTCCCTGATATTTGACCAACCCAAATTCTTGATAAATCAAGAAAAGTCATCCATGAACGGGTTTCGCGCTGTTGGCGTTTATTTTAGTTATATAAAAATATTTATATACAAATTACTCTCTTTTTTATCAATTAATCATTAATAGTATATTATCAACTAATTGCTGTCTCAAAATATAGATTAAACATTTTAATTAATCATTTAACAAATCAAGATGTGTGTTTAATATTTTTCATTCAAGCATTGAAACAGCAAACAATTACTTTTGTTTCAATTGTAATATTAAAAAGCTATTTAATTCAATACATAATTCAAAATTAGATAATAAAAAGGCATATATTGTATTTAATAAAATATTTATTTTGCCAATATTTCGGCTGGCTGAACGCCAACCTTTATCAAGGTTTTAAATTGTGTATACAAAAATGTAATGCCTCGATAAAGATTGGCGTTCAGCCAGCCGAAATATTGGCAGAATAAATCTTTTATTAAATCCAATATATGCCTTTTTATTATCTAATGAATTAAATATGGATTGCTCTATTTTCAAAATTAAAAAAAAAATCTTAAAATATTATATACTCTCAAATAATAATTTATAATAATGTTTAAATATAAGAGAGAGAGAGAGAGTGGAAGAAGAAACAACAAAATATTCTTCTTTAAGTGATACAATAAACAATACAATTTAATAGTATTACTAAAAGTAATAATAATAATACATTAATACATTAACGAGAAACAAAATCACAGAAAAATAAGAAAAAATAAAAAAAAATAAAGAAAGAAAACGTCAATAATGAACACGGAGAAGGGTTAAAAGTTTAGGCGGGAAAACGGCAGCCAATGACGTCATTGTTTAGCAGACGAAAGCTGGCCGCAGAGGGAGCTTACATTAAGGCGGTAATTAACATGTAACCATGGCAACGCCGTAGCCCATTTAAATACTTGGGATAGTTAGGGGAGAGTGTGAAATATCCCTTAGCTTCCTTCGTTTAATTCCCCTGGCAATTTGTAATCTCAGACACACGACTTATTTATCCCGCCATTTTTAACATTTTCTTTTGGTCATAATTTTCACACTTTATTAAAAATCCATATAAAACTATTAAATACGTATATATTTAACTTTTTTTTTTAAATAGAAAATACTATATTAATATTTTAAAAAATATTCAATACTTCATTCTTATTTGTATATTTTACATTATTTAACATATTTACATATTAAGAGATTTGATGTGTACCTCTGAACATAATAATAGCTCCATCTATATTTATAAAATGGAAACATTTTGATATTTTGAATGTTTCTATTAAAATTTGCATAAGACTTTTCCTCAACAATTATTGAGCGAGTGTTTGACTCTAACCGCAATTGTTTTTAGGAATTTTACTTATTTTTTTACATAATGATATGATTATTACTATAAGTTGAATAATCAATTGGAGCAGTATATTATTAAAAGAAAGACAAAATCATTGGACATATAGTTCTTTGTAAGGTTTTTTAAAAACTCTGTTGTATATATATTTTAAAGTTTAATTAATTAATTGTTTCCACAGAGTATGTGTTTAGGTTCACAAGAAAATAGCCGCTAACCGTTTTTAAGATTTAAGATTTAAAAGATTAAAATAAACGATATTTTTAAAGACCGATAATTCTCTGGAAAATACATTTTTGTGAAAATGCAAACTCTTAAAGTTTGCGCTTTACCTCTACAGAAATATTTATAGATGCTCTTCGCCTAGCAAGAAATATTTTATTTTTTAAAAACAAAGGCATATATTGGATCAAAATATCATTTATTTTACCAATATTTCAGTTGGCTGAACTAAATAAATGATATTTTGATTCAATATATGCCTTTTTATTTAAAGATTTATTTATGGATTGCTCTATTTTCAAAAGAAATATTTATGTAAAAGTTTTCAACTAGCAATAATCGGAGGATCCTCATGGGCTACGATATTTATGTACGTAATTGTCTATTTGTGCCTCTTGTTTACGGAGTAACAATGCTAGAAGTTTGCATATCTACTGTCCATAGTCATATCCATAGTTTCCTTAAACGCTAAGAATTCCAATACAGTGACGATTATATAGGCAAAACAGTCATTGCACTCGTTCAATAATTGTTGAGGAAAAGTCTTATGCAAATTTTAATAGAAACATTCAAAATATCAAAATGTTTCCATTTTCTAAATATAGATTGCGCTATTATTATGTTCAGAGGCACACATCAAATCTCTTAATATGTAAATATGCAAAATAATATAAAATATACAAAATAGAGCAGTATGGTAGATTAAATTGGCGAAATCTCTCGCAAGTTTCACTATTGATGAGCCAGGCCTTTTTTAATATTAAATATATATATTAATTGTAAAACGACATTTAAAAATTATCCCGCATTTGTTTCTTTTCAACGAAAAATCTAAATTTATTTTAAGGAGAAATAACGATTATTTCTAACCTTTGGGATAAAGTATGAAAAGATGAATTGTGAAGAGTAATGATAAACAGAAAAATAAAAGTGTCCAGGGATGGGAATCGAACCCACAGTGTTCCGCTTACCGGGCAGATGCCATGTCCACTTATCTACCCTGGACATATTTTTCTGTTCGTAAATAATACATTTACGAATGTATTATGTTTTCAAATGTCGTTTTACAATCACGAGCCGCATTATATTATATTGTATATATATTAATTATTAAATTAATCGCAGTAAGGACAGTAGAACGTTTTTTTAATTATAAAAAAAGAGAATGAATCGCTCTAAATAGTTTTATTTCTTACATGTAGATGGCGCTCTAATGCCTTATATTTAATATAAATATTAACATCTTGCTTTATTTAAAAACATTTTCATTCTTGTGCTTAAAAACACAAGAGCTTTTTATTTAAAAATAAATGCAAATTTTATGAAAATCGGATGCGATGAATACATTCATGGACAAAATTTAAGGAAGTGGAAAGTCTTTGATATCGTCGGTTGTCTGTCTTTTTTTTTTTTTTTTGAAGGAGACAGAGACAATTTTGTTCACACTTGTTTATCTCGTGTGTCTTCAATAAATGTCACTGTAATATCTTTCAGAATTATTGTCTGAATCCCGATATACATGCTAAAAGCTACAACTTCCTTAAATTTTGTCCATGAGTGTATATTATAAATATACACATTGAGATGCCAATAAAAATGGAACTTTTTTTCGATATTTTCCATATTGTTTCCTCAAGATTTAAGAAAGCAAACGAAAATTTGAAAAAAAAGGAGCCAAACGATCATTTAAAAGTTTGGCAGACGACCAAAAGTCGAGGTAACATCGTTATCATCTCTGTTATATACAGTTCCATATATCACGTCTGTCAACTTTCACATTATTTTATAATGATCTTTTAGACCGAATACATCTTTTTACCGTTTATTTTTATATAATGAATGTTCATTTATTTTGTTATAATGATATCGAGTTTAGGTTATAACAGTTATTTAATAATATAAACTTTTTTTATTTTAGAAAAAAAACTGTATCTCTTTTCAAACGGGGTCATTTTCTGTTGTTTTCTCACTTGTAGCAAAGATTTAAGACAATAAATTGAGTTGGAAAGACATTACTAAATTATAGTATTGTGTCAAGAAATCATTTTTCAATTTGATCTCAAAATTACACGTTTTAAAATTGTTACTTTGGCGCTGCTGTATCAAGGATGGTTAAATAAACAGGCGGTAAGGTTCTCTGTTATCTTTATTCACTTTATAGTGTATTATGAAGAGTAACATACATTATCCAACAGTTAACAACTGGGAGCACGACTTATTCCTGATTGGTCCGTCCGCCCCCGACCCACAGGTGGTGGACGCTTTTATTCTCTTTTGGATGCCTTCGTAACTTTGTATAATTTATAATGAAATAAAAATAAACGATAGCAATACGTTTCTTTATTTCCGACCCAACCTGTCATTACCACAACATCAAATCCAAATATCAAAGATTTATTTATTTATTTATGCTTATGAGGTGATACAGCAGCGTTTATCAAAGATTATTAATAGAATCCTTCGTCTCTCATGATTTAAACAGTATCAACAGGCGTATAGAACTACCATCTCAGTACCACTCATTCAGTAAAAAAACAGCCCAGCCCTTCCTTTTCACCAGATCCTTCCTCATCTTCCCCAGTTTGACCTTCACACCCATAGCCCCATACACCATGTTTTGTTCGCATGTAGATAGAATTTTACTTGCGTCTTATTTTTCGAATATGTAGATGTCCTGCAGTCTGGCGAAATTTATATATTATTTTATGTAAATGTGTTTATATTTATTTTTATTTTCTATCTTCGTTAGGTGTATGTAAATAATATTGTACATCTATATATACTCTTTCTCTCATCTTATAGCTTGGCCTGTGGAAGGATCGATAAGATCCGAAAGCTTGCATAAAATTTCACGTATAAAGAAACGTATTGCTATCGTTTATTTTTATTTCATACTTTATAGCAATTCTTTTGTCTATTTATAATTTATAATGATAATAAATTTAAGTGTGAGAGTGTAAAAATAATTCTATGCTGCCTGAAGTTTAGGAGTTCCATCTATTTAAAAGCACGAATGTTTCTTTTATACATAATAAAAACTTTTACTGCCCTTACTGCGATGAAAAATATGTATTGGGAGAGCTTGGCTCATCAGTGGTGAACACTCCCAGCGGTTTCGCCAATTTAATCTACCAGATCGTGCTGACCAGAGTAAACATTCGTGCTTTTAAATTCTTTCATTTTATATGTATAGATGGCGAGTTATTGCTTTGTGTTAATTTAGTTCTATCTATTCTTCTTTCCTTCCTGTGGTGAATCTGTATAAGACTGATGGTCTTGATAAAGCTGTATGTGTGTGTGAGTGTAAAAATAATTCAACTACACCTATCCTCCGATTTACACGGTACTTGTTTTACACGTTTTCGCTTTTACACGGTTTTCCAAATAAGTTTTTTTTTTGTTTTTATCGCACTATACTAAATGCTACTGTGATTGAACACATGCGCTGTGTACACATCTCACGAGGAATCCCGAGAGCTTATGTGCTGACTACATATTTTAACCTGTAAATGCATTTTATTTTTATTTCTGTGTACACCTATCCCCCGATTTTACACGTTTTTCTCAGGAACGTATCTACCGGGTAAATCGGGGGATAGGTGTATACCTTAAGAAACAACATACGAGAGTACAAAAATTTAAGACACAGTTTCACACCTACAAAAAGCCTTTATTAAGACATATAAGTCTTATACAGTGATTCACTACGCGAAGTCAGGGGATCGGTGGAAGGCTGGTTAAACCGTTTGGTTTTTGACCACTACGACCCGGGTTCGATTCCCGCATTGGACACTTTTTTTCTGATTGAAAAAAAAAAATGCTCCAATGGCCCCCGATTCTTGCAAAAGTTCAATCCCACCAGCGAGTGCGAGTAACCAAACGGGGCTCTGGTACATTTGTAAGTGCAAAGTCGAACTGCTTTTCACATGTGTAGACATGTGGTGCGCTTACAGTAAAAGCAGTCGCTAACTACCCACCATGATTATCATGGCCTGTACCAAGTGTACTAGGGATAATTAAAAAAATATATATACGCGAAGTCTGCAAAGGAAAGTTGTAAGAGAAAGCACAAAAGCAATTTACAATTAAATGAAACTAATGAAGACAATTGAAAATATTTAATTGATGTCAACGATGTTACAAAATCACGAATGAGAGAAAGAAATAAAGGAATGATATTGTTTAAAATTTGGTGATAAAATGTAAACATTTATTCTCTCAGGAAGCTCCTCCATCTTGTCCTCCTCCTGACAAGGACAGGATCAACTTGTACCTCTCTCAGTTCAACAGCGACATAGAACTTGTATATGCAATTCTTGGCAGACACCAGAATGGCCAAGGTCATGAAAATAATAATTCCATATACAGGAATACCTAATTAAGACAATTAGTCTTACATATATATATATATATATATGTTATGAATATTTTGTTGTTGTTAGATAAGGCTTGATAAGACAAAGGATCGATAAGGTAAAGGGTTGAAGGTGCAGTCGTGATAAAAAAAATATAATTATTTACCGTCAAGTAGCTTTTATTTCAATTACTTGAGGAAAGATTACACATTAGTTATTTTCACATTATATAGGATTTATAAAGTTAATCCTATATTAGTGATTTAAAAGGATAGATATGTTAACTACGCATATTTACAACAAAACTATACAACAAAAACTGAAAATCTTTCTAAAAACGATGATAACAAAAGTAAAATTATCAATGAATAAAATAAAATATATATTTTTTAAAATATAGAAATATTTGAGTTTTTAGATTATATAATATACATATTTTTTGTATGTTAAGCCTGAGGAAAACAAAAGGATATAAATTGGAAGAATAAAAATACGGGTAATATAGGATAACATAATCATCTATTAAGACCTTTTACCTTATGCAAAAGTTCTTTAAACAAAGTTACTTTGAAAAAGGACTTTAAAAATGTCGAAACGGGGCTTGTATTCGATAACAATACATTGTAATGTTACAACGACGTGGATAAAACCGTCCATCACCTGTGGACAGACAGACCAATCAGGAAGCCTAGCAGACGACGGCTGTTGACAATTTGACAATTAAATAATTTTTATTGACCGCTGGTCAATAATTACTCACGAGGAGTCAAAAGGGCAAACTATGTACATTGGTCAGGAGGGCAAGGCTATCCTTAGCTTGTGAATTCCCCTGCGAATGGTGGGATGGCTGTTCCGAGTTCGCTCGAAAGCAGCGTCAAGGAAGCCCGCGAGGGTACTCCCCTGCTCAGGCGAGAGACCCTTGAGTAGATCCAATCTATCTTCGCGGTATAAGAACGACGACGGCTGTTGGATGATGTATGTTACTTGTTGTCAATAGGTGTATTCGATTTAAAATAAAATGGAGTATAGATAGAAAGAGATATTCCTAAATATAACTAAATTACATTAATATCAAATTTAGATGAGAGATTATAGGGTGAAAGCTTAGGAGCCGATAATGAACTTTTCGTCTCCAGACTGTTGTAATGTGTATGAGTTATCTGAACAAACTCGCTACGACTTACAAGTTGAACTGAATGTTTATTCAATCTAGCAATCTCCTTATATACAAGATAGAGATAAAAAGGAAATAATTTACATAAGTTTTTTTTTTTTTAAACAATTGACAAATGGCATAATTTTGCATAGTTAACAATAGATAATAAATATAACACTTAACATATGTTATTTACATATCACAACACAGACGACATCAAAAAAGAGCTCTATTTATAACTGAAACGTTCAAATATATTCATTAGAGGGAACCAGTTGTTGTAATCCTTTGTGTTCGAAGATCTTATGATTAATCTATCCCATCTCACATCTGAAGAAGGAAGTTAATTATGGTCATTAATCATCGAGAGATTTGTTCTATGACTATTACCCTTTGTACTCGGCAACACTGCTAATTATCATCATCATAATCACATATCACTGGACGTATGTGGAATATATGTAAATAAACTGGACGTATGTGAGATATATCTA